CAAAACAAAAAGGTTTTGTCTGAGGCAGAAAGTATTGGCTCTCACAGAGAGGACAAAAACAGCTTGGAATTTTACTTTTATTGGGTTCTGGAAAATGATGGCCGTATAACAGCTCATTGCTTCTGATATACTGTGAAGATAATTCAGAATTTATATCCAGCCAGATTTCAAATTTTTCATGCTTGCTCACATTTTTTGCATTGCTGTTCACCCATTCAAATAAATCCACCAAATTAGAGAAGCTTCCAAATGGCTGCAGTAAAAAAGAAAGAACTGATGACTAGACCGTCTCTTTGCCGGATCTCCAGACAAGGAGTGGATAAGAGGTTGTCTCACAGTGCTGCAGACAGCTGTTGCTTGCAAGGATATTTCAGGACAGCGTTTCCCAGGGGTTTGAGCACTAGGGGAGGAAGGGAATAACAGTCTTGCTCACAACCACGGTCGGCAACTTTTAAAGGACAATAAGTTTGCTAGCCTGACTTTCTAAACACTTTCTGAAGTTGCTTATTAACTGTTTTTAAATAATTAGAGACCTTCAGAATGACAAGTTTGAAAAGACAAGGTGAGTTTGCCCAATACTGAATGAAAGGAAATCTTAATCATAAGCTTAAGAATCTAAAGAATATGCAAAAAAACAGCAAAAAACTAAATAAGATTTTGATCTTAGGAAGTTTTAAATGGGCTAAGGATCTAGATATATTTGGGATATAAAAAAAGATATTTGAATAATTATAAAATGCAAATAACTTCTCCTAGGAAATAGATCTTTTTGGTTTTTGTGAGACATAATAAAGATAAGTAATTTTACAGTTCTAAAAACTGTCCACTTTAGAGGACTAAACATTCTCAGTGGGGTGGGGGTTGGAAACAAGCCTACCTTTTGTGTTAATTTAGTGGGACTACAAAATGATGCTAAACATTATAACATTAAAAATACTAAAGGAGACTTTTAAAGACTGGAGCGAGAAATGAGTAGCCACAATATCAACAGTTATGATGTCTGCCTCTATGGATAGACTACATATACATATATAGATTTTGTTCTAAAGAAGTCATTGAAGAAATAACAGATGTTGAATAAATTTTAGCTGGCAAGACTGAGATGATACTGAAAATGGATTACACAAATAACAATCCAAAATAATGATTTGGAACAGGATTTCTCATTGGATATACAAAAGAAACTGACTGATGTTTCAAAAATCAAAAAAGGAATACAAATGATAAACCAAGAAAATGACCTGATAATTTTTCTCTATTGGATTTACAAAGAGGCTTGTTAAAGCCTTGAAGAATTCTGCCTGATTGGATAAAGAAGAAATGAAGAGAAATCAAATCCTATAACAATATTTGAATGAATTAAAGATTAAGACTGTTAGAAGTAAAAGGAAGGAATATAATGTTGGTTTATTTTATCAAGATTAATATAAAATACTGCATGTTCTTACTTCTAACAACTTTATGGACTTTTCTGCTGATACCAGGACAGAAAAGATGATGTTTTATGGATTGGGTTATATATAAGGTATAGGATATGTAATGAAGGGATAATTATTTATAACTTTAGTGACTCTTCATAAGTTCATAAATATGTATTATAAATACATATAATACTTGTGATGAAGTTTGGAGATTACTTTATATATTTCTTTTCTCTTTATTATAGTCTTTTCTTTTTCTCCTTTTTCTTTGCATTTTTACTCTTTCTGTAAGTTTAGGTTTTACTCCTATAATCAAAATTCTTCATGAAAATTATATGTAAAAAAATAAGTCCATCAAATTAGGCTGGAATACTAAATACTTACTTCGAATCTTTCATTTTTCAGTCATATTTTAGAAGTGGGAACAAGTCACAAAGATCACTTTGAATCAACCTGAGCCAGGAGAAACATCAGAGCTGGCTTTTCAAGCAGATCTGGAAGTTTCCATGTAACCCTATTTTGCCGCTAATTCTATGAATTTGAATGGAAATATCCTGACAGCAATTGATAAACTCTTTGCATTTGTTTAGCATATTTATAAGACTTTCTCTCTGGCCCTGACAAAATCAAAATAAAAGTGTAAAAGCATTGAACTATAAAGTATTTATTAAAATGTAAAATTTGAATTTGGAAGTCTATATTTTTCATGCATATTTTAGAAGAAAAACAATCCTGTTAAATGTATTATCCACTGTTATTTATTTCTGTTTCATCTCTATGCATTACCCATCAAACTGGGATGATTGCCAAAATCCATAATTTGTTATATTATGTATATTCCTATTCTAGAACAAGAGATAGGGATAGTTAATATTCATGGGAAATGATGTCTCATGGTAACCTAGGGTAGTCAGCACTACTTCTGAGGTAATGAAGGCTGAAATCATAATAAATGATTTCATAATAAATCTACTTTAAATAGCTACAGATGGAGCTAGTTCAACAGAAATGCTTCTCACAGGTATGGAGGAATCTGAAACAGCACAGAGAAATTTAATTTATGGACTTGGAAATAAACAGTCTGGAGAGCAACTTTCATCTTCAGAAAGAATGAACAAATTTTGCTGTCAGCAATGCTAATACAAACCAAAATTGCTTCTGTTGTTAGGATTCTTTAAGACTTCAGGCCCTAAGGTTTAAAGTAGCCTTTTGAAAGCTTTGTAGGTGGATTTCCTAGTCTCTCCAAGCATGATTGAATACATAGGGATCAATAATATCTGTATATTTATTGAACTGAATGAATTGAATTGGTCATTTTTGTCCTGACTGCGCCTACTTTTAGCCCAGTTTGCCCTATTGTTGGGATCCAGCCTTGAATTTCACATGTCATATAAAGCCGCCAACCTGCCAATTGTTATCCATCTCTTTTGTAGAATTACTGCAACATTCCTCTTTGACCATAATCTAGAAGTGAAATTAAAATGACAAGTAATTCATGTAATTGTATAATTCACGCATCATCTCTGTTCACAAGCATGGCTTTTCTTGAGGAAGAGAATTTGCAGCTGAACTTTGGTGTAATGGATGAAGTCATGTGCTCCATTCATGAGGATCATGGGAAAACATCTCATCACAACAACGAATTATTGACTTATTTTATTTGCATATATTTGAAATGCATGTCTCCCTCAGAGAGAGACTCTGCACATTGTACAATAAAATGTTAAAATATAAAAGCAGCATATAAAAATTTTAAAATTTAGAAGGCGGCAAGAATGATCAAACACTGTTAAAATTAGTTTTAATTAGTTAAAAAAGTGAAGGAAGGGCTTTCAGGGGACTAATCAGCTCCACGGTAGTGTGATCCTCTGGGCTCTTCATGCACTGCCACAAAGCCATTTTTCTGACTCCTTTTCAGAAAACCAGGACAGTGAGGACCTGCCTAATTTCTGGGTGAAGATATATTACACAGGGTGGGGGGAATGGCAGAGAAAGCTCTCTTCCTAGACCCCACCAGTCAGAGTTCTTCAACTGATGGGGTCTGCAATACATATCTTTTGACTATACTGTATCAAAGCATTGTTTATTTATTTCAAAATTGCTTCATAGTCCATTTTTATTTCAAACACAACTAGAAAAGAGATGAAGCTGACAAATAAAAAAAATCAGAGACAGAAAAATAGATTTATTGGATGTGGGCTGCAAAAGTCCAGATGACTGCTTATTAAATTCTTAACTTCATCCAATGATAACCCAGATTTTTGGAGAGCAGAACAAGTTTTCCTAGGCTATCATGGTGTTTTATATTGGTTCTTTGGTGAGCAAAGCAGATCTTCTATGAATAAGCAGTGGCCCTTCCAATCTTATTTATATGTTGAGTGTGGTTCTCATGCGTTGTGATGATAGCAAATTGTGAGGGAATTAGGAATCTCTAAACCAGATTATAGCTTTTTTTTGTTCCAAGTAAGCACTATAAAATTGGAGTTAGATTTTATGGAACTATCACTTTTGCGCAGTGGTGGGATTCAGATAATTTAACAACTGGTTCTCTGCCCTAATGACCGTTTTAAGTATAAAAAAAAGGATATACCGAAAGGTAGTACTTGGTGACCTCGCCCCTGTATGCACTACTCGGGAAACTAGAGAGATGAGGTGTCTATTCCCAAAATTACCTCTGAGAAGCACCACCTAGTTTTCGCCTGAGTGACGTGATCGAAGGCACTGCGTCTTCGTTTGGTTTCTGTCGTTCCTCTCTTGGACTTCTGGGGAGGATTTTTTTCCCCTGGCCTGGAGGGAAGTTGAACGAAAACCAGACAGATTTATCATAACCGGTTCGCCGAACTCGACAAAAAATTAGGTATCGGTTCTGGCGAACTGGTGCGAACCGGCTGAATCCCATCACTGCTTTTGCTATCATTCAAAGACACTTGCCAGTGAAATTTTAGCGGAAAAAAAATATTCTAAGCTGCAACACTAGTGTGGATAGTTGCACATGATAGAGTGCCATGTTCCACACTTGCATTTGACAGGTGTAGTACAGACAATCTTACAAAGCTACAATAATCTTCTCTTGGCCCTGTTTAAATAAATTACAGTGACAGATGTCCCATTCGCCTAGAGTCAGTCCATCAGCCCCTGAAATCCTATTAGGTAATTTGAAGGAATAAAAATAATCTCCCTAGCTTTCCAGTTCCTTTTTCTTCACTACATTTCCACCAACATCTCTGCTAGTTACCTGAAGAACCCTGAGTTGAAGTTTTATGCTGCTTCAGAATATTTCTGAATCAATGAAGTGTAGTCAGACTCTGAAGGTAATCAACATGTGATAATAGGTGCTGGTCTGCAACGACAGAGTGATAAGAATATCAAAAAAAGAGGAGCACCCACAGGATGGAGACAGTGAAGTCTTTGGCTTGAAATACAAGACACTGAAGTCCTATATCCTATAGCACGTTGCTTTATTTATGCTGGCGCTGGAGAATAAGTTGCATTCTTCCCATACGACTGCAAAAAAAAGTGGCTGTTCTTTCCAAGACCGAGCCTTTCTCTTTTTGAATTAGTGGTTCTACATTGTTTACAATGCCCCTTCAGTCAGACATCCTCCGTGAAGTATGGGCATCCGAAGGGTAAGTCTATGTATATTCTCCTTAAGCAAGGATAAACTATCTTTGCCAATGTCATGCAATGTCATTGCATGACATTGGCAATCTAGATTGGAAGTGAAAGTAGATTATTTTATCAAGTCTTTCAGTGCTGGTTCCAGTTTTGGAATTCGGTAAGACTTAGATACAACGGTTTCAGTTGACCCACCATCTCTGGGTGAATTTTGTCTTCATTTTTATGACTATGGTACTAGAAATTTGCCTATCTCCTTTCTCTAGAAGAAAAAGGACAAGGAAAGGAAAAAATATGTCTTGTTGTTTGCTTGTATGCTCAGGAAGTAAAGTAAATAGGGGCAGTGCGGGGTGGAGGAATGGGAGAGGGCAGTAATCAAGCTGGCCAGCAAGTCCAAACAGTATTGATACTGGACCTGAGGTCCTTCTCAATACCACCTTTCTCATGATTAAAATAATAGGAAGCTCTTTAAGAGTCATCTATGAACATATTAGAGATTTTCAACGTTATGAATTATATTTGCAATAAATAATACCTTAACTCCAAATGGTTTCCTTATGTGTTCTTCTAGTTCAAAATAAGCAAAAGGGAGTGAAGTGAGAGAAACTAGTTTAGTTTTCCAGTCTCTAAACTGAAAGTTTGCTCTTTCACATCATCCATTTATCAGCCTGACCTCAGAACTATTTCCTAGACAGGCAGCTTGATAGACTGAAGAATCTCTCTACTTTTATCTTCCATTGATGGTGGCAAAGATCAATGATGGTACAATTTCATTCAATGTTGTGAGTACTTAAATAAATATGTTCTTAAGAAAAATTAAATTATTTTAGAAGATGTGGCTGTCTTATGATGTTTTGCTCCTATTTTTAAAAAATGAGAATATGGTTTATTTTAAATTCAATCCCTGGAGCTATAGGGAGCAAAAGAGGGGTTAGAATGGCATACATTTATTGATATTTAAAGATCACTTGACTTGCCTACTAATTAAACTTCCATAGACTCCAGGGAGAAAAATATATAACTTCAGGCCAAATTGATATGTACACAGTTTTAAGGCTACTGGTTTAGTGCAGCCATGCCAAACTGAAATAGTTTGCAAAGAGGCAGGTTTTGCTTTGTGTTATGCCCATGGTCCATGCTTCAAAATGTTTTGAATATCAGTCCTATCATTCTTTGCTGACAGCTAGAGATGGGAATTGTACTTTAATGTATCTCAGGGGTACCAAGTTTAAAAAGGCTGGATTAAACAGAAAAAGCCCCTCCTTGGATATGAGATTACTGGTTGAACCCCTGTCTCTGTTATGAATTCATCAGATAGTGTCTCTCAGTTTGCACCCATTTGCAATATGGAATTACTCACCTAACTTGCCGGTTTGGTATTATTATAAGTTTTTCTATTGGATGCAAATTTCTCTGGATCATTCAAATGCATTTTATAAATGCTAGCGAAAACGGTTGACATAGGTTTTTCCACCTAGAAAACTATGGCTTTTCTAATATTTGTTACCGTCCGAGTGAACAAGATGCCCTGAGTTGTAATTATTGTAATTTTAGGTCTTGAACATAAATATACTGACCACTATTTAATATGACATTCTCATAAATATAAGCCGTATAAGCCATATAAGGCAATCCAGGCTAAGAAACCAAAGTTATATAGGTCAGAACTACTTTTATTGTAACAACTAAATCTGGTGACTTCTCCCTTCCTTCCCTTTATCTTTGTGTGAACTAGGGAGGGGATTGTCTAAGATGTTTTCTCAACTTCCTTTCTTGGCTGGAGCTCAAGCCCCATTTATCCAATCATTGCCTTAATAGCAGCTCTTCCTCCTGTCCTTCAAGGCCATTTCCTCTTTCTTCTACAATATGTCTCCTTCCCCTTCTATCTACAATTTAATGATATAAGCCAGTCTTCTCCTATCTGGCTCTTGTTGTGACTAAAGCACCCATGATTCTTCAATAGCATTGACCATCAGTGAGTTGCAAAGGCTTCTTTATATCCTGTCCTTCTGCTGCAAAAGAACCGTTCAGGGCAACTTAAATATTATTTAAATTATCTTTCATAAAACAGCAGTGTAAGATAATCAACAAAGAGACTGACAGGATCAGCTATTAAAAATAAAATAGAATCGTAGAGTTGGACATATATCCCTGAGAGAAGGCTACCCACTCTTTGCTTGCACACATTCAGGAAAGGGGATCCCACCATGTTTCTGGGCCATCAGCTCAACAGTGAAACTCCTTTTATTGGTAGAATTTTTTTTTCTAATATTCATTCAAAAACTGTCATCAGGTAATTCAAATCCACTAGTTCCTATATAGTATTCTTCAATAGCTTAATAATATTTAGGGAAACTAACTTTAAAAATAAAATACAAACCAGTCATGATCGACTTAAATCTCAAACCTGGATCCAAGACAATTTCTGGGCTTACACATTGCATTAAGCCATAGTTTGTTCAGAAACTAACTAACATTGATCAGTGAAAGAGTCAACTGGCCTCTTGGGTAGAAGATTGCTAAGTTGGAATAAGATAACCAAGATGTTTTCGCCCCACCAAATATGTTTCTATTGACATAGTATGCAGATCAAGGCCTCTGAAGAAGAACAGAGTACATAGGTGACAGTGATTTGCACAGATTTGCATGGCCAACAAGTGGCAAGAAAGAGATCCAGTTGTTTGCAATCCAGAGAAAGTCTGTGTGGAGGAAAGTAATGTTTCAGGTATCTTGCTTCCAAACTAGGTAAAGCTATCAGCAACATACAATAGTTTGGGCATCTGGTATAAAAATAATGCTAGCTAGAGTTGATCAGATATGGAAGGTTCAGTCCAATGGTGGGATTCAAATATGTGAACAACTGGGGTTCTCTGTGTGGATGCTGCTTCTGGAAGTCCATTCTGGGCCTGGGCAACAAAAAATTAGCTACCGGTTCTGCCGAACTGGTGCGAACTGGCTGAATCCCATCACTGGTTCATTCTAACATTTGAAGAGGGTGGAAGTATCAGAGTTTGGCATGGACTTATTCATTCTGGCACACCTGTTTCCTAATATTCTTACATCAAGGATGAAGAACATGGATTGGAATCAATGTCACAGAAGGACAGAAGGACTAAGAAGTATGGTACAAATGTAATTATTGAGGAATGATTCTACCATATGATTGCCTGTCTGCAGTTTCACCTGCTCCCAACAAAATGTCCCATTGTGTGAATGCATGACCAGTATGTGTGCTGTATTACTAATGTCTGCACTGCCATCTGCTGGCACATTCAAGTTTCATATGTAATCCTCACTTTATATATATATATATTCTTTGATCATAGCATGTAGGTTTGGAAGCAGAACAAATAGACATCTGATATATTCTTAAAGTTTTCAAGGAATATGCCACTCAGAGTCACATTCAAGTGAAATAGGCACCTATATAAATTTAATAAATAAACAGAATAACGAAAAGGTCAGAATTGTAGGCTAAGATTGAGCAACTGAAATAAAATTACCGGAACAAGGGACATCAACTACCTCTAGGAATCAAATTGAGGGTGCAATGACCCAGGTTTTTTCCCATAAACATTTTAACTTCCAGTTTAAAGTAGACCTTCCTAATTCCTCATGTTTTTTTTTCTTTATTCCCCTTTCATTAGTGCAAATGAGGAATCTGCACCTCAGAAACTTAATAAACAGGTAAGAAAAATCTCCCTATTCAACCTTTAGTTTGATTATTCACATATGCCTCACATACTGCATATGCCTCTACTACACTATTTTGAATTTCTCTGCTTACACCAGGAATGTCAAACTGCCGGCCCACAGGCCGGATGCGGCAATGGGAAAAAAGTTGCGATACATCATGACACGTCACGTGACGTCGCGAGTTTGACACCCGTGGCTTACACATTGTGTGGCTCCTGAGATTAGAATGTTGATTTTCACTCCAGTGAAGTATCATGTCTTAAAATGTCATCCAGTCATCACCATGGCTGGATACATTGCTACTAAACAGGCTTTACATCATTGGTGTTGAAATGGCCAATATCTACATCCCAATCATTATTTTTTGTATTTCAATCCCACCCTTCCTTCAACAGGCGCTTGCACAAGGTTGTTCCATAACTCACAGCTTTATGATGAGATCACTGTCCTTCTCATCTACGCACACATTTTTTATGGATAGGTGGGCACAATCCCCACAGTTAATCCCTGTTTATCATCCTTCATTGTTGCAACATCTAGCCTTAATTAGATAAGCTACATTCTGTCTCCCTGCATAGACATAAGGTTGATATTGCTAATCTGAACAAATTAATCTCATAAAAGAAATTGCAGGCATCATTCACATCACCAACGTCTTATTTGCAGATTCTGCACTAGCACCACTTTTCAAACATATATTTCTCAACCACATGACCTGCATTTCATCAGTCACAATTAATTATAGTTTATGACTAATGGGATTGACTGTAAGGTAATCTTGATCCATCTGCTTCCTCTGTGAAGTCTTTCTGAATGACCTCAATCTCAGAGGAACTGTGTTGTGGTGTCTGAGAGCATCTTGTATGGTCTCACAATCTCGTTTAACACATAATGGAGCAATAACCCTGCAATTACCCATCTAAAGGGCCCAATCAGTGTAAACTTTTGAAAGGTTCACATCTTCACATCACATCAAAAGGTCAGATGCTACAAAAAGAAGATGCAGGTGGGTGGGGTAGAGATTTTGACCTTGAAGCCATAAAGCACGGGTGTCAAACTCGCCACATCACATGACGTGTTGTGACTTTTTTTTTGCTGGGGTGGGTGTGGCCTCCGCATGATGCAACTGGCCCATAGGCCAGCAGTTTGACACCCCAGCCATAAAGCTTGTGTCATCAAAGCCTGTGATGTTTCACATGGATTCTAGATTTTGTTGTGATGCAAGAAATAGTTATTCCCTATTTTTTAAATTCTACAATCCACCATCACCAAATCCTCTC